ATTTATCTATACATCAAATGTCAGGAAGAGTTTGTCATTGCATTCTACACTAATGTGTTCAGTTACCTTTATATCCGTTACCCACAAGAGGCCGATGTTGAAGACACTGTAGGCAATGAACCCTGTCAGGTTCAGAGCCAGGAAGTCAAAGTTTAGTCCTACCACACTGAAAACCAACATAACAGTGTTAACGTTATACATTGAAATACATTGAAATAGTAAATGTCACAATTAGATCAGTGGTTTTATGCGTTATATGAAAATGTTGATGAGACGTTTAGAACGGAGATAAATCTGACCTTTTCCTCTTCCAGTTCTCCCATGCCTGTGGGTAGAAGGACACAGACCAGGCCAGGAAATATATCCAACCAATCACTTGACTGATCACTGACACAATGTTGCTGTGAATGACCATGAAGCGGATTCTGAGAGACAAACTACAGCAGAAACAGAATCACCATTACACAGAAGGTAAAGTGCAGTACATCATATATCAGACGAGCAATTGGTCCAGAGTCTATAGAACATGTAGGTTAAAATAACCAGATGTTCTTTCTGAGGCTATATGATTGTTATTTACGATGAAGGGGCAAAATCCAAAGTTCTTGATCTGTGGAAAAATACTTGTTTTAATGAGACTGGTGCAGTCCTTAAGGCTCATTCTTTATTATTAGGTATAAAAGCATTGGTCTCTTTGTTGATGTGCCATCTTCTTGTTTTAAAAAAGCCTGTGTTTCCAGGCGAGTAATAACCCATGAAACTGTATATTACCTGTTAAGTCTGTCTGTGTTGTTGCCAAGCAGGTGTGCAGTCACCTGACCCACATCATGAGACATCACATTGAAACTGAACAAGGATCATCAAGAAACAACACCTGCACAAAAACAACACACATACCATTTGATCGCTGTTGAATGATAATGACATGAATTACTGCTTCGGCTGTCCATCAATGTTACCCTCTGTCTTCTCACTATCACTTTTAACCTACTGCTAACTCTGTTGCATTTAAAAAGCACGTTATTAATGAAACATTCTGGTCACAAAAGTAAAACCCTACAAGTCGAAGACAAAAAAACTTCTCACCGGAAACATTAACAAAAAATAGGTTTTCAACTATTTACCTTTTTAACTAAAGATTTCCCCTGAATCTCAAATACTTGAGCCTAGAAGATGAGAGTCTTTTCTGTTTTTTTTACCTGCTCAGGTAACAAGATTATACTGGAGTAGTTGGACTTGGAGCTGTAGGTGACGTTGAACTGCATCACAAATGATTGGTTCAAGGGAGAACTGCAGAAACAGACAGACCATCAACAGAATATTTGTCCACACAGCTGCTATTAAAAACTAAACACCAACATTATTTTATTTTCATTTTAAAACTTCTACATAATGCACACAGCCAATTTCAGTGCTGTTTTAGTAAATTTGGTAAATTTGCCATTTCTGTGCACCGTTTCAGGTAGAAATGCAACTGTAATACACAAACTATGTAGACAGATTGACTTGAGATCTTTCCAGATGATTAAATCAAAATGTTATATTTTAAGTATTCTTTTTTTTTATCAGAGAAGAGTTTTGTTGGTGAGCTGTGGTATAAATGCAGAGTATTTTTGTAGGTACCTGGATGTAACAGTGACGTTGGTTTCAGAGTGTTGCTCCATTGTGATGGCATCTGGGGCAAATAAATGAACCGTGCAGTCTGGAAAACAATGATAATGTATTTTATATTTATGGTTTACATAAAAATGGGACTTAATATCTAAATGCTTTATGCAAACATGGCATCAAAGGAAATGCAGTATTTGAGGCAAATGCAGCTTTGGTGATTAGTCAAATGTAAGTCTGATACTACTCATAATCATAATAATCATTTTACCACAAAAGGCAGCTACCGCACTGTTAAGTTTTAAAATGAGTCACCTGAGATTTGAGGTACATTCCATAGCAGCAGCAACAACAGCAGACAATGGAACAGATCAGCCATGTCTGTAGAGAAAACAGCGCTGAAGGAAAAGGAACACCTTTTCATTATATTATACCTCATTATACTAGGTAAACTATTTGATTTGCTTACTAAATAATTACTTAAAATTCCTTAAAGCCGAAGTTCCAGTATACGATATACATTTTTTTACTTACGGTATACAAGTTTAACAAGCTGCGCGTCTCCTTTTTCTCACTTAGTCGGTTTCGAGAAAACCCCTTAAAAATTAAATAAATTACAGTTACAGATGTTAGAATAACATATTTCCGGTGCCAGACTTTGACAAAATCATCAAACTCACCACAGCAGCTGCTTTTTAAATAAACTACTTCCGTAATGGTCACATGACAGCGGGCTTTGTAGAGCGTGCAACGACAACGAGGGCTTAATACTGGCATCTGCTGGTGATAAAGGGAATAGACTAAAATGTTGAGGTCTGCAGTCTAAATATTTGAACGCCTTCTTTTCTTTAAATGTGAATTCTGTACTTGTGTACTCAACACTCTAGTCTTTACTCTTAAAACATGCAGTTCAAAAGTGCAACACTTTACTTCAAACCTCTTTGGATTTGACCCCTGTGGTCATTTTCATTATTTCTTTAACTAAAAAAGACATTTTAGAAGGGTTTCATAGAAGAAGGGTTTCAGGTTGATTATGCACAAATTTAGATTTTTACATAAATCTTCTTAAAATGACCATATATACCAATAATTCACACAGGTTCATCGAGACAGATCAGCCGGTGCTTGTGTTAATTTATTTGGTTTATTTACATCATGATTATCTTCATTTTTACAAATAACCAATAATAATATAGAAAACAATATAATAACGTTCTGAAAGAAATAATTTTGTGAGAGGTTTTGGTAAAAATGCTGCCTGGCAGCAAAGTCTCTTCACCATCATCTGCTTTGTAACATCATATTTTGTGATGACATCATCATGGTGACCAGTGTCACCTTAGTCCCAGTCAGTTTAACATCAAATTTATTTTTGACACAGCCATCTTAAGTGATGACATTGCGGCTCCAGGATTCACAAGTCAGCTGCTCCTCTTGTTAATGGAAGGGGAAAAATCTTGAACTAGTTTTGGTGTGGTCATCAAGATTGTGAGGTACCGACTGCTGTTGAGAAAAGTCCTCCCAGTGGAGCTCAACTGGGGTTATTGGCTGTCACCCAAATCATTGTTACGATTGGTTGTGTGGGAAGACAACTGGGTAGATTTGACTGTAGTGATCCACATAGTGAACCTCCAGGCCCTCAGTTATGTAGTCAGCTAGGTCTGAAAAGTCCTTCCTGTTCTCAGCTGGCAGGATGATGCAGGTTACACCAGCACGACGAGCCTGGAAAGAAAAAAAACAAATCGATACACTCAACTAACGATGCAATGTGATTCACGAGTATTGTTCATTTATATCTACTTTTAATCAATTGACTATGCATTATTACATCCCTACTTACAAGTGGTTAGGCCCAGGATGGGAGTCTTATACTGTATGTGTTCAGACTGCAGGTAAATCAGACTGGTCTTCACTGTTAATTGAGGTTATGTGTTTGTGTGCATCTTACTTACGGCAATAGTTTTTTCCTTGATTCCTCCAACTGGCAGGATTTTGCCTGTCAGTGATACCTCACCAGTCATGGCCACATTCTGACGTACAGGCTGTTTGGTTGCCAATGACAACAATGCAGTGACAATCGTGCAGCCAGCACTTGGTCCATCTTTTGGAGTCGCTCCCTAAAGACAAGTAACGTTACATCATTATGCTCTGGGCCTTTAAATCTGTCATTAAAACATGTGACCAATTAAATGTTTTTGAAATAGTCAATATTTTTATAGTGGGGCACTTTTTTTTACCTCAGGGACATGAAGATGTAGATGAGAGTTGTCCAGGAAGTGGTTTTCAGGTTCCTTAGTCATCAGAAAGGCTCTGGCGAAAGTGCTGGCGATCTTCGCACTTTCTTTCATGACATCACCCAGTTGACCTGTAGAAGAACATGAACATCCTTTACACACATGTTCATCATGGAGATTGGAGCAACCAGGAGTTAGACTTAATTTGTGAACATTCTGACTTACCTGTGACCTCTAATGACCCTTCTGCTTTAGTCTCGTCTCGTCCTCTAGGGCGACGCACAGACGTCTCTATGAACAGTGTTGAACCACCTGTAGGAAAGATAATGTCCTGTGTGTAAGCAACTTGTACTTCTAGGTTCAGTAAAGACCAGGTTGAATATTTGATCTTTTAAAGCAAAGATGCTTGAATATGCTTTTTAAGTAGAGTAGTAGTAAGTAAAGATGTGAAGACTAGTAAATCTAGGTGAACATCTTTATCTTTATTCATATACACTGTGTCTCACCCATGGCAGTCCAAGCCAGTCCCATAACCACTCCTGGAGGGGTGATGTCATACATACGGTCCACTGTGAAAATTGGTTTGCCCACATATTCCTGCAGATTCTCAGGATTAACAGTCACTGCTTCCTGCTCTCCGCTCACAATGCTGAATGCTACTTTACGGAAAACCTGTTGGATAATTTCGAAATTCTGGTAAATTTAACATTGTGTGAGGAGAATGAGGCTTCAATGTTGCAGTCTGAATCTGTGTATGTTACAAAATGTTTCAAGATTCTTAAACATACAACAACCCTTCCTGCTCTGATATTGTTCTGGCGACTGTAAATATGTCTCAACTGGTTAAGGTACTTCTGTATTTGACCTTTTCTACTTGTTTCTGCAGGTTCCTGACCCCCGACTCTCTACAGTACTGTTTGATGAGCAGACTAAGAGCGTCAGGTGAGATGGAGGCCTTTGCTTCAGTCAGACCGCACATAGTACGCAGCTGAGGAACCAGGTAACGCTGGACACACACAAACACAGAAAAAAATGGTAGAAAAACAAAATTAATATAGAAATTACTGAGAATATAAAAGTTCTGTCAGCAGACATTTCTTACCTCAGCAATAGCTAATTTCTCCTGAGCCACATATCCAGACACGTTAATCATCTCCATCCTGTCCCTCAGAGGCTCTGGAATGGTGTCTGTCACATTTGCCGTGCAGATAAACAAAATCTTAATTGGAACAGAAAGAAACAGATGTTTTTTTTTATAATAGTGATCAAATACAAAAACACTTTAGTCCTGCACTGTGACATACTGGTAAATCTTCAACACATAATCTTTTCATTCATATAAGGTTGTGGCACTACATGCAAAGAACACTTAGTCTACCTTTGACAGATCTACAGGAACATCCAGATAGTGGTCTAGGAAATTGGCATTTTGTTCAGGGTCTAGGAGTTCCAGAAGGGCAGAAGACGGATCGCCCTGGTAACCACGACCAATTTTATCCACCTGGCGATGATGGAAAAGTTAATGACATTTTAGAGCACAGTGCCGTCACTGGCCAGTACAAGTTGGCCCAACAACACTCTCTGGAAGATTCATCATCCTTCCACAAAACCAGTCATAATGAATTTCAGTTACATCACATCAACCACGTCCAGGTGTTTCAGAAGGATTTGTTTTCACTTCTCTATTTAAGGCTAATTAAATACTGGAAAGATTTACTCTTTCCAAAGCCTGTTCTCTGTTGTCAAACACACCAGAGACACAGCACCCCCATACTGACCTCATCAATTAAAACAAGAGGGTTCTCGGTCTTGGTTTTTTTCAGGCACTGGATTATCTTTCCTGGCATTGCTCCGACATAAGTCCTCCTGGAGGATGACACATGGACACATTGAAGAAAAGCTCATTAAGAATATTAATGTGACATTCCAGTGGAAAAGCAGCTCTGCTGTAACCCAAACCCCAAGCCCAGTAGAACAACTTCTCATGGCTGTTCAGTGTAGGACCCTACAGCTTAGTGTCTTTGTGATGATGCTGGTTCACAAATCCTCACCTGTGTCCTTTAATCTCTGCAACATCAGTCATTCCTCCCACACTGAACCTGAAATACTCTCTGTTCAGAGCTCTGGCTATGGAGCGAGCAATGGAGGTCTTTCCTACACCTGGAGGACCATAGAAGCACAGAATCTTTCCCTGGGTGGAGCCACGCAGCTGACTCACCGCAATGAACTCCTGCAGACAAACGCAAAGAAAGTTCGCTTCTGCAGGATCAATTCTATGCGTGATGACAGACATACTGTATGTATGCAAGTGTGCCAGTGTCTTTACCAATATGCGTTTCTTCACATCATCCATTCCATAATGATCTTCTTCAAGAACTTCTTTAGCCCTCTCCAGTGACAGGTTCTCCTCACTGTTGGTTCCCCATGGCATGCTGGTCAGCCAGTCCAGGTAGTTACGGGTCACACTAGAAGATACGAATATTCATGGCTGAAATCTGACATTTTTTACCCTGAATACAGAAGATCTGTTGTTTGTTTTAAACCCACTTAAACTCTGATGAGTGGTTGTCCAACAGTCCCAGCTTGTTGAGTTCCTCATTAATGACGTCCATGATGTGCTGAGGGGCAGTCCTGTTTTTGAGTCTCTCTCTGAACTTCTCCTCGATGGCTTCTTTGTCCTCTTTTTCCAAACCAAGCTCCTGAGAACAGCCACATGTTTTGGTGTATTAGTCACAGCCAACATGTTTATTCTTAATTCCGTAGAACACAACATGGGCGACGTACTGAACCAACTAAACATGGGCCTTGACCGATCACTACTACTCTACCTTCTTAATGATCTTGAGCTGCTCCTGCAGTAGATATTTCCTGTGTGTCTGCTTGATCTTCTCCTCCACCTAAGAGCAGAGAAGGGAAACACATCAGTGATGATGATTACAGGTGAAGACAGCTCGACGTAGATGTTTAGTAGTGATGATGAGAGTTGACCTCTCTGCCCAGTCGCTGCTGCAGTTTACTCAGCTCATACTCTTTCTTCAGCAAAGACAAGGCTTTATAGAGACGCTTGGGAATCTGCAGAAAAAAACATTTAGAACTCAGTGCAAGTTTTGGGCAGAAGAAAAAGGTAGATGAACATGCCAGAAGTAAAGAAGTTTATGGACTCTTTCATTGCTCAGTTGGGTTAAATACTGTACATGGCAGCAACACCAACAGTTGTTCACATGCACTTTGCTCACATTAGTCTCCTCCAGGATGTCCTGCAGCTCCTGTGACTCTGCTCCTGTCAGAGCTGCTCCCATGTCACTGAGGTAAATGGGATTATCAACCACCCTCTGACCAGCTTGCATCATCTGAAGGACAGATTCTCTGACAAATGGAGAGAGAAATGTTAAATGTTTACTTTGTGAAGAAGATTTTGAAAAACAAAATCCCACGGACGGATTAAGGTATTTCCAGGAACTGGACGTGTCCTTTAAGTTTTGGAATCTGAATTATTTACTTTAATGTTGACTTGTAGTACACTGAAGCGTGAGCTTTGTTTTGATAAAAGACCAAGGACAAATTGTGACAGATGACTGACCTGTAGAGAGGATTCAGTGCAATGATGTCCCTGATGGTCTTCACTATCTCTGCTGTCAGTGCCTACAGAAAAAACACAGAGTTTACCACAGTGTTTCTTCTGCACTCAGAACACTGAGAAACTCACATCCTTGGGCTGTAATCCCTACCTTGACCTCTTCTGTGACAGTGAACTGCTCATGTTGAACATTGTCCACTTCAACCATCAGGATATTTGAGGAAGGCAGAGGCTGGAGCTCGGGTGTCAGATCTACCTCTGCAACCTGATCATACACAAAAGAGTCTAATATAAACACTATGGGAATCACAAATACTTCTACTGATGTCACTCACAGAACAATTATGGAAGTGGACACTACAAGATGATATTTAGACACCAACCTTTGAGACAATGCACTGTATTTTACATTGCATTTACATTGCATTGTTTGGCTGTCTAGCTGCATGTAACACACCTTGTCCTCCATCTGCTGAGCCAGATTCACCTGTTGCTCCCTGCGGTTGCGTTTAGATTTCCGCCTTGGTTTAGACTGAGCATCAGATTCAGACTCCTCCCAAACAGATGGTGACCCCTCAGGCTCCACCTCTAGTTGTCTTGTGATGCGAATCCTATAAATATGGAGTTAATTTTACATGCAAATGCGTGGGTTTATAGATTAACCCTTCAAACTTCAAATGGAGAGCAGACCAAAGCAGAGTTTCTGACCTGCGGTGTCCCATGACAATCATCCTCAACTTGTCTCCCAGGTCCTGCATCTCATGAATTTGGACAAATGTCCCTGTGTTGTAGACAGCATCAAGAGACTCCACCACATCTGACTCATTACTACAACACAGAGAGATAAACATATATAGTCTATGAAGAAAGATGATTGAAATGTTCAACTGTGTATGACATCAAACAAGCGTGCACGTGGTGTTAAGTATTTGACTGGAGAACCCAGGTTTAACTCTTCACCAAATGAGACTTCTTCATCAGTTCTTGTAGAGTCTTACCTATCATCTCTCTTCATGAAAACTCCAGCGTAAGGTTGAGCTAAACGAACCTTTCTTCTCAGCAGCTCCATCAGTTCTTTGTTTTTTACCTAATGAAATAGGAGTTATCGCATCACGATCACACACTCAGACAAAAATGTCAGATATGCAGCAGTTTCTGAACATATGATTTTACTAAGTACAATGTGCTAAACACATTGTAAAATTGTTTGAAACTTCTGTTCTGTTGTTACCATGGCAACAAACAACTCCAATTTTGTTCAAACCACTTGGAAAAAAAGGCATTTCATTTTCAACAAGTGGGTAGACTGAGTGAACACAACTTTCTGCTTCTTAACTACACAATATCATGTTTGATTCACAAAGTGGACTTAAAGAAACAAATGAAAGGGGAGCATACTCTCTAAACCTGACCATTCTGGATGTCATTACATTTGTATTTATTATATGTTTACTTATTATGTTTAAATTGTATGTGGAACATAACTATTCTCACTCAAACACGACCTTAGTTAAAGCCAACTGAACCAAATGACACTCGTCTTGTATCAGCGTTGTTTATTCTTCGTTGTAAAATTCATATGCAGAGTGTATCACTGACCCCATACCAGTTTAGTTGTTCATGTAATGTTGCATCAGCTCTGTGGCACTGTTGGGTCTTTCTCACCTCTATAATCTTTATGAAGCGCGGAAACACCGGGTTCCTGCTCACAGCGATTAGGGGAACATTTGGGAACACCTCCGGTACCATCATGGGAGTCAGTGCGGTCATCTGGGGTCCGGTATACGAAGCACCCCCATCACCTCCAGACTCTTCCCCTCCAGAGCCTGCACTATCCCCATCTTCTCCTGAAAACCCCGCTGCACTAGACCGATTTCCGAACCATCTGTCCTGGACCGTGTAGTATTGCGGTTTCTGTGTGAGGAGATCGGTTTGGCCGCAGAGAACCGAACCTACCCGCATCCACCTGTGAGGTCTGAGGGTCAGCCTGCAGGCAGCTGTCATCGCTGAGGTGGTGCTGTATCCCTGTGTGGTTCCGGTGCTGGTGTAACAGCCAGAGTGCTGGAGCTGGGTCTGAAAAGAGCTGTTTGTCCATCTCGACCATCTTATTTTTCCAATAAGAGTTGGTCTTCTGTGTATCAATCTGGAAACTATCATCATCTTCAAGCACGTCGCCATCTTGATCTAGAGCTTTCTGAGGCACGTGACTGGCTTCCGTCGACGCATGATGACGTTCACCGGTTAGGAAACGGTCAAATACAGCTTAACCAAAAATAATATTACATTTGAAACAGTTACAAAAAGTTTGACACATTTTAACATTTGCACAGAGTTGCAATAAATAAAAACCTGCACTGTGTTTTATACAAAATAGGTTTTTAGTAGACACTATATGGTTCCACTGTTAAATTTAGAGAAAGTTAGAGAAAAAACAACAAAAAACAAATTACTAGAAGATTCTTCTTTAGTTACTATAGCTCAATAATTTCTATCAAAAGTTGAATCAAAAACTCATTCAGGATGCATTATACATGTTTATTAGAAAGACAATATAAAAGAATGACATAAAAACAACAACATATTTTTTTCCTCAGTCATTGTCTAACTCCTGTTCCTCCTCCTCTTCCTCTTCTTCATCGGTGTTCTCCATTTCCTCTGGTGCAGCCTGCTGTTCTTCCAGAGCGTCTTCCAGGACCTGTTCCTCCTCAACGGTTGGGTCCAGAGCCTCAGTGACTTCTGGTTCACTTGGATATTCTTTTTGTGGAGGCGGAGGTAAAGGTGGGCTGTATCCTTGTCCAGTGTATTTCAAACCCCATCCAATGTATATGTTCTCAAATTTTCTAAATATAGAAGTACAACAGAGAAAAGCTGCTTATAAATGATATCACTGGTTGAACTGTTCTTAGAGAAACTAGAATATTTTAAATCAGAAAAGTAAAATCTTACTTTCCACATGCATATGCATATGCTCCTGGCCAGAGGTTAGAGCGCAATACAGCTACTGCATGCTGCGAGGTGAGTGTGGAGGATATCTTGGTGCTCCAGGGAGGAGTATTAAACATCTCTGTAAAACAGGTGCGAGAGAGACTTGGTTTATTAATTTACAACTTTAAAGTGGACCATCATATTCATAATGCTTCAAGGATTATGAACGCAGTAACTTGGCATCTATCAAAGTGGGAGGGCCCCCAAAGACAACCCATAATATACCATTTTCTTTGCGAATGTCCTTAAATATTATAGTTGGTATTGAGCAGATACAGTTGTCTGAATCAAAAACTTTGGTTTGGAATGTCCTAAGACTGTCTAAGACTAACCTGCATCCTGGGAAAGGGGAGTGAGTAGTGGAGGCCCAACTTCTGGCTCAGGCTCATCAGGCTCCTCCTCTGTCTCCTCAGCCTCTCCCTCCTCATTCTGGTCTTCTTCTGGTTTTACTGCCAGGTTTATCCAAGAGCAACGACCCTGAAACAGTCATGTTTTCACCATGTACATACATTTACACGGACAATAACAACTATATTTTTTGAATTCAAGTTTAAATTGTCTGCTTTGAAGATACTAACACCTGTTTCAGGATGTGCTGTACATGATGGACCCACATGGACAAAGACAAAACCATCTCACTGACAGGAACACCATCAAAATCAGGATTCACTTCATAGCTGTCCCGTGGTGCCTCATCTTCCTCCTCACCTTCTTCTTCCCCAACATGGAAAAAACCTTGGGGGCTGACGTGTGTTCCTGCACTGATCCTGGCAATCTGTGCTCTCAGGTAGTTGGCTTCATTCCCAGGGAAAGGAGGATAGCTCTTAATGGGTGAGTCCAACCTGCCAGTAAAGAATTTACGGATCTGACGAGCAACAGTGATCTGTGCGGGAGTGACTGATGGGAGCTTCACCCATGGAAGACCCGGCTCTTTACAAACGTAGTAGACATTTTTGTTGGAACCGGTTCCCATTGGCTCCTTTGGCACTACTGGCGGGGGTTTGTAGGTTGACTGCGGAAGTTGATCCATCTGAAAAATAATTCACCACAAGAGGGGTGATTGAACTTTTCCCATTTTGGAACATCAACGTTTTCTTCAAGCTGATACTTGGACACATTTAAAAATAACACTACAAGAGTGATTGTCTTTTTCACCTCATTCTCTTCACTCTCCCGGGCCTCATTCTGCTCCTCCTCAGCTGCTTGGTCACTTTTCTCGTTCTCATTATCCCAGTCTTTGAACTCAACTTCAGCAACAATATAGTTGCTTTGTGTTCCCAGGATTTTGCCCCAAAGTCGACAGTGCAGGATAAGAGGCTGAGAGTCAACAAGTTGCTTTAAGGCAAGGAAAATCCGCTGCATCTCTTCTCTGCCCAGACCCACCCCAGCTTGTTCAAGGTAAAAGCCAATCTCATTTATATTGGGAAGAGGTGATTCAACCTGGTGAGGCCAAAAAATAGATTTTAACTGGAGTAAAGAATAAAGAATCAATACAGATTTCAATGATGTGTGGATAGTGTAGTGATTCAGACAATACCAGCTCATCCTCATGCTCTGTGTCTTCTTGCTGAGTAAACAGCAGTCGTTGTTGCTCAGCCAGCAGCTCGGCCAATGTGGTGTGTGGAAGGTCTCTGAGTCTGTTTTTTGTGTCCTCAAACAAACCTCGCTTCACGTCATAGCTCAAATCTTCAAAAATATCCACAGCATCATTTGGCTGTTCATCCATCACTTTCAGCAACAAGCGAGTCAAGTGATCGTAGCTACAATGTTTGAGACAATCAACATAGCATCAGCATTAGATACTCAGTGTCTGCTTAGACTGCTTTTGCAGTTGGCTAATATAAGGCTATTTGAGCTAACCATGACAAACTTTGCCCTATTCCCTGTTAACATTTAAGGCATTTCAGAGCAGCTCTTTAGATATTGTTGCTGCAATATGTTAAACTTTGATCTTATTTTGGTGACTTATTGTTCTTCTGGTTTTTAACAATATTAATCTATTTTAATAATATTCTCTATTTAATAATTATATCTATTTTCTATCAAGACTGAGGCAGATTTTGCTATATTTGTTTTGCAAACTTAAAGCCATTTTAAGAAACATTATGAAAATCGCTACTTCAAAATCACTAGGAGTGAATTTAGCCCTGTAACATCATAGGGAAACATGTAATGTAAACATCCCTCTTTTAACTCAAAATTTGCTCCACAAAACAGACAGTACTCACAGATTCATGTTGCTTTTTTGGCTGTTTTTCATCAGAAATGTCTTGAAGGCAGCACTAGACTTTAGCATCTTGTCACCGCTGCGGTCTCTGTGTTCATCCATGGTCCAGCAGCTGCCCCAACTCTAAAAGCTGGTTTGAGGGGACGACAGTGCAGCAGTTATGTAGCACAGAACAGGCATACGATCCACAGAAGTGTGGCTCGTTTTTTCTCTTGAAATTGATATGTTAAAACTAGAACATAACAAACTGAGGTGCGCAGAGAAATTGTGTGGTCATCATGGATACCATTGTCATGGTTACACAAACAGAGAAGTTGCCTTATTTAAGGCAATGTCTCCCTCTGGCGTTGGAACACCATGAACACAAAGAACATTTTATAATTAGTTTGAAGCATTTAGGACCTGAACGAGCACATCTTTCTATGTTATGTCAAGTTTGATGCTATTAAAGTAGCTAAAGATCAACACTGCATATCCAGTAATTCCCAGGACTAGGATCCTGGTATCTACAAAATTGCATTTAATGTTCATCTACTGCCCTCAGTAATAACTATGCAATGCCTTATAGTTTTGAAAAACAATTTAGTTTTTCTAATGTACTTAATGTCAGATAACAAGATACATATTTTAAACATTTTTCTGCAGAACACTATCAAATACTGCATATTTTCTCTGGCTCCCAGCATTCTAAATCACATTGTTTTAGTAAATTTCCACATTGTGGAACGAATAAAGGATTTCCTTTTAGGAAAGGAAATTTTATATTATTTTAATAATGAATACCGTAACAGATCTAACAGGTACAAGAGTAAGACATTTAAAATACTTTCAGGTAAATGCAGATCAGCTTAGGAAATTAAACATTGCAACCCAAATATCCCAGAACATAGAGTGAAACCCCTCATACAAATGGTCAAAAACATATAATGAGTACTGAGACTGAGACACATTTGAATGATCAGATTTAATTCAGTCCTGTAATCATGTTTTGAACTCAATGGAATTGACTTATTAATTCTACAAAGAAATTTAGCAGATTTTTTTAATATACAAGACCTCAAGGACCTAATGTAAAAGAACAAGATTAAAAGAAATATTGAAGAAAAAGGATCTGATCAGTTGAAAGGCAGTAAAAAAAACCTTCATCCTAAAATATTTTTACATTTATATTCTTTTTAGGGTGATATTTTCTGCATCTGCAATGACTTGTCTTTTGATTGTTTATGTGACCATCATCTTCCATCAAGCGTTTCACCTAACATAAAAATGGCCAAAAAAACTATTGCACAGATTTAGACATTAGCGGAAATAATGAGCAGAAGACAGTTCATACTAAAAATGTAAACAACAAAAAGGCAATAAAAGGAATAAAAGCATGGTAATTGTGTCATAAAAGAACATTTTTCCTTTGATTAAAGTAAAAGAATATGCTCCTTTGGATGAATCGACATAGCACAACTTGGAATAAGCAATACAGAATAGACCTGAAATCTGTTACAAGATGTTTCTGTGGAAAGGAGTTTCAGTTGATTCTTCTCTTCACTGTAGTAGTGTAGAAGTCATGAGCGAAAGTGGGAAAACTGGAAAGAATACTGAAGAAATTAAGACTGAAAAGGAAAATGGAGAAGGGATAGCAGAGGATTTTGACAGCTATACGACATACAGAAGCTCCAGTGATGAAGACACTGATGAAGGAAGTTGGGAGGAGCTGGGGGAGAGTGAAGAATACATCTACGAGACATATGTGGAAGAAAATGAGGATGAAAATGAAGAAACTGTGTACAGCCACCAGGCAGAAGAGGACGACTATGAGAATGATACTGAAGACAATGAGAAGGACAGCATGAATGGAAACGGATGGGATCTTGAAGAAGAAAAAGAATGTAGCCACCAGTGAATGGAAACGGAGGGGATTTTGAAGAAGAAAAAGAATGTAGCCACCAGTCAGATAAAGAATTAACCCAAGAAGACGATGATAGTGAAGTAGAGTTTGATGAGGAAACAGAATATAGCTACCTGACAGATGAGGACATCAATGAGGAGAAAGAAGAGGTTTTAAAGAATGATAAAGAGTCAAAATACCAGAGAAATGAAGAGAAAATTAACCAAAATGTTGAAAATAAAGAGAGAATAGGAAGTGAAAATGATTTTAAGGAAGAAAATATAAATCACACAGGAGATGGAGATCATGTTTTTCAGAGAGAAGAGAGGGAAACTAAGAGAAATATCAGTGAAAAAAAATGTGAATTATGGAACAAAAATGATTTTGGTTGCCAGATAACACATGTGGAGAATAAAAAAGGAGGTGATTGGGAAGAACGGAAGAAGACCATGGAAAATGAGGAGACTGGGGAGGAAAATGCAAACAATACAGAGGAGGAAAAAGAGTTAAGCTATCACATAGATAATACAGTAACAGAGAAAACTGATGTGAAAAGTGGTGAGGAGTTTGATGAAAAAGATGGGTGCAGGTACCTAATGGATGACAATGAAACTGTGGAGAAAACCAATGAGGAAAATAAAGAGGATTTAAAGGATGAAATAATGTCACATTACCAGAGAAATGAGGAAGAGGTTAAGGAAAACAGTGAGGAGTGTGTTGCAGCAGTTAAAGGACGAAATAGTTGCCAATCCAAAGACAGTGATGAGGAAAATTTACAAAGTGGGAAAGGATTTTGGTTCAGAATGTGGAAAGTCCAGGATTTAGAGATAAAGAATGGACAACCGACTGAGGAAATAACAAATTACAGCTCTCACTCAAACAAGGAGGAAGTAGTGAAGACTGATAAAGAAAATGAGGACTTAGAAAATGAAACAGAGCATAGCTATCTGACAGACGAGGAAGACATTGAGGAAAATGAAGAGTCAATGCAGTCAAGCATCCAGACAAATGAGGAGGAAAAAGTAGAGAAAGTTGTGGAATATGACAAGGAAGTTAAAAAGGTAAAAGAGAACACTGTAGAGGAGACGATTCAGGTGATTAGAGGACCTTATGAAAATTCTGAATGTGTCAAAAAAGTAGGGAATCAATTTGTGAAGCAAACAGAAGGGAGACAAGACTATAGCTACCAAATGGATGAAAAGGATGTTAAAGTTGAGGATGACTGTAAGAAAGGGGAGGAAACTTCCAAAAAAAGAGAGGTAGAAGAGGGAAATGGAAAAGTGGAGGAAGAGAAAAAAGAGGACAACTCACCTGATGCCCAATCCAACGAAGAGGAAATTGATTACACTAGTGATGATGTCACAGTGGAGTTTGGTGAAGAAAAAGAATATACTTGCCTGAAGGATGAAGAGAAAAGTGAGAAGAACATCAATTGGAAAGATGAAGAGGAGCTAGAAGTGAAAACATCAATCAGCTGCCAGATGCTTATGACTGACATTATAGAGATGTCTGAGATCACTGGGAAAGAGACAGAGGAAAATGAGAAGGGGGTTGAAAAGCAACATTATGAGTTGGAAATTAATGAGGATTTTAAAAAGGAACACTGGGAGGACATACAAAACCAAAAATACAACACCTTTGAGAACCAGGAGAACCAGAATAAAACTGATGTCGAACAAAAAAAGGCAAAGCAGCAGGAAAAGTCTGATAGTCACCAAACAAAAAACGAAACAGAGGAGGAAGATAATGAGGTGAAAGAGAAAACCCTAAATACTAAGAAGAAAGAAAGTGAGCATTCAGACACTGTGCACAACTACCAGTTAGGCAAGAATGGAGTAGACATCATGGATGACAAAAGTATTCCAAACTTGGATCAAAACTCACAATACGAAGAGCAGGAAGAGTACTGTGAAGCAGTATGGAATGATGATGAAGAGATTGAAGAGAAGTTAGAGGAGCCAAAAGACCACAGCTATCTGAGAAAAGAGATAGAAATAAAAGAAAATGTTCCCGATAATTGTGTAGACAGCCAAGGAAATGAAGAATGGCTTCAAAAAGGAAATAGAAAAGGAATTGAAGAGGGAAAGGGGGAACACTATGAGATAGATGGGAACCAATGGGAAAAGATACATTGCGACACAGAGAAAAGAAATAAAGATTATGTACAGAAAGAAAGAGGGAGCAGCTTAAAAAACAATGAGGACACTGAGGGGAAGGTTGTATGGGAAAAGACAGAGGAGACCTTGGAAAATGAGAGACAGATCAACAATGAAAAAATAAATGGTATAGATGAGGAAGAAAAGTACAACTACCAGACCCATGATGACAAGGAAGCTGAAGAAACAGTGCATAGCTACCAAAAAAATGAGCAAAGTGTAGTGAATACTGATGAAGAAAATGAGGAGAAGTTACAAGAGGAAACATATCACATTGATAGGCTAGATGGAGCAAAGTATTCTGATTCCAATGATTCACAAGAAGCTAAAAATTCTAACATGATACTAAGTAATCAAGCACTGGCAGAAAGAAGGCCAGACAGGGGAGCAAGAAGAAAACAATGTTTTGGCAAAGTATTTAAAAAAAGAGGAAGACGCTCAGTCAGCTGGCCTTCATGCTCAACTAGAACACTTGGAGGCCCAAACTGCTGGAGAAGTCACATCAAGAGCAAAGGCAAGAATATTCAAATCTGCAACTGAAAATGAGCAACGTGACAAGTGAGACAAGTCAGAAGCTACAAACTGAACGTAATAATGCCTTGTGTGAGAAGCAACACACCCATCAGGCTGCTTTGAAGCAGCAAGAGGAAATGGATCAAATGGACGTAATGTCTCATGACATTTTCAAACTTACTACTGAGAATGAGAGACTGCAAAGTAAACTTGCTGAAATGCTTGAGACACAGCATGCTTATGAGGATGCCATCTCACAGTATCAGAAGAATGCAGACAACGCTGCAGAACTGACACATGAAAATCAAGAACTTGTGAACAGGAGGCTACAAGATAAACTTAAGGATGCCACAAGTCAGAAAGCGCATGATTATGAAGCTGCAGTATTGCAAAAACAGAAGGATGCAGATAAACTTACTTGTTTGAAGCATGACAATCAACGGCTAGCGTATGAAAACAAGAAACTACAAGGTAAACTTGAAGATGCTTTAAATGAGTATGCCCATCAGGTTTCTGTTTCTCAGCCGCAAAAGGATGCAGACAAACTGAACTGTCTGACGTATGAAAACCAACAAATGGCTTCTGAAATGAAAAGACTACAAGGAAACCTAGAGGAGTCTGTAAATGAGCTCCAACATGCACAAAAGCAGCAGCAAAGAGACAGAGAAACATGTTGTAGACTTGAGGAGAAAGTCAAGAAGGAGAAAGCTCGCTTTTTAAAGATGCACAAAATAATTGAGATGGGGAAAATGGCCAGTATTACGTCAATAGGAAAATTATATGATATGCAAACACTGGTAATGGAAAATGACAATTTAAAGACCAAAATGAAAGATATTGAGGCAAAATATGGAGGGACACTGTCCGAAAACCATTCACGTTCTAAGCTTCATGGAAAAATTATGTCACAAAAGGATGAGATTATTGCTGAGAATCAAGCTACCATTGCTAGGCTTGAATGTTTGATTAATACACTTAACACACAACAGTCAGAGAGCAAAGCACAGCAAGCTAATCTTGAAGATCCATTGGGACAGGCAAGAACACATAGCACTGCCTGGTGGGAAAGATCAAATCAAAGTGCTTCTGCTTTTGAAAAAGAAAGAGCTTTACGTGAACAGTACCAAGCAGAGCTAAAAGAAGCCCACAGAAAGCAAAATAAAGCAATGGCAGAACAGCACCAACTAACTGAGGCCCTCAAGAGATCTCAGGACAACTTCAGAAGACTTCAGGAACAGCTCCAGTCTGAGTCAAATAATCAACTCAAATTACTGACCGACAGCGAGTTCCGGTTTAAGGAGCAGAAAATATCTTTAGACCAGGCAAGGGATGACTGAACTATGGAAAAGGAGAACTCCTGAGCATAATTCAAAATGGATCTCCGATCCCTACAAAATTATGTCCATGAGAGAAGCTAAAGCATCAGGTCGAAATGTTGATTTGGTCAAAGTCTTTTGTCATGTCCCATAGCTAACTTTCATTCAGCAGAGATTTATAGCAGCTTTACCATAACTGGTCCTTCATCCTCTCAAGAAGTCATTCTGAATATCCAGGAAATGTTGATTTGCCTTCTAAATTGTATAGAAAGATCTTCAGACATAAGATATTAACCTGGTCTGTAGTGTTTCATTATATTTTCAGTACATAATAAGCTACAACTTACCAAATATTAGTAAAATAATAAAGCCTTTCTCTCAAAAAATTTCAAATGCTTGCTTTTATCGTTAAAATTACACTTTACCCTTTTTAAAAAACTACATTTGTGACAGTGACTGGTGAAGCCCATAATAGCCTTTCAGTCATGTGATGCAAAATGTTTGCGGTGTGTAGACTGCCTGTTACTTTCTCAAGCTCGGTGTGAATAAGTGATACATGATATGTGAGCTCTTTTAAGGTTAACAGGCAAAAGGCTCCGTAAGACATGAATAGACAATATGTTACCACAGAACAAACCAAGCAACTGAAGGGAAAGTGATGTTTTTAATGTTTTCAGTAGATAACTGAGGAGACTATATTTCTCCTTCTGTTTACATTTCAGCCTAAATGCAAATCCCCAAGTTGGTTTATATCAACAACACATGTCAATAGAATCAGATCAAGGGAATAAAGGTGCAATGATGTCACGATTCCATGATGTCAGCATACAGTCGCAAAAGGTATGCCTTGCAAATGTTTGTATACATTTTTCATTTATGTATGTGCATATTTTATATATATTGTGTTTTTGTATATTTTGCAGTGCAACATAATGGATCTCAGCAGTGGAAGTGTCAGTAAAACATAATGGATCTCAGCAGTGGAAGTGTACAGGTAAAACAACTACAGTGCTTTGACATATAATTCTTAACTGCAGCTAAAGAAATCACTACAAGGCCTGATGAACTTGTAAATATAAAAGCAAGACTTCTAGATACAATTATTGTAAAAAAGCATAAGCAAACAGTAATGTATCATTGCAGATGCCAGAAAAACATTACAAACACGTAGAATGCTTCTTAAAGTCATAAACTTGTTCAGTGCAAAAACTTAAGGTATGGAAAGATGAACAAGACAAGAAATAAAGCTAAGGTTCTGACTGAAAATACAATCAGAGGCACTAATGCAACATTATGAATGCCATTGTCACTTCTTAGCAACCAAGTAAACTTCTCCCTGGAAAATAATCTGGTTTCATCAATAGAACTTTAGAGCACGTATGAAGAAATAAGAAATTTGACAAAATGTCAATGTTGAGAGAAGGAAGCGGTCCTGAGGTAAGTGATGAGGAAGGAGATAACATCCTAGAGGCTAAAGAAGAGGATAAAGTGGAAATTGAAACAAAGACAACAGAAGAACAACCAGACTGTGTAAAACATGACACTGCCGTGACAGATGAATCCACTAATCTACAAGAAGCCTTGCAGAGCTTAAAAAAAGCAAATGCTGTGCTTCAGGAGAACTTAAGAAAGATCCAAATAGATCAAGTTTCACAAACAGAAGTACTGTCAAGAGAGCAAAAACAAAATAACATTCTGGCTAAAGAGCTAAAAAGAAAAGAAGCTCAGACAGCCAGTCTTAGTGCTGAAGTGGATCACTTGAAGGCACTTATTGCAGATGTCGAAAGGTCACATCAGGAGCAGCGGCAAAGGCATGCAAAGTTTCAAATGAAAATGGCTAAAATGACAAATGAACTTAAACAAGACAAAGACGTTATTGAGAAGCTCAAAGATGACGAGAAGGAGAAATTGGCCAAAATTACGGACATAACAGATCAACTCCACATCCAAAAGCAGGAAAATCTCATCAAAAACAAAGAAATTCAGTCGTTACACCTCAAAAATCAAACTCTTCAAAATGATATAGATGCAAAAGACAAAAGTGTGTTGTTGCTACAAGATAAGGAAAGCCAGCTGGTAGGAGATCTCAAAAAGGAACAAAAGAAATATGACAACCTCCATACTGAGTATGTTGCAGTGGTTACCCAGCAGCAGAAGAATGCAGATAAAGTAAAACAGTTGACAAATGAAATTCAAAGTCTTTGCGATGAAAACAAAAGCCTGCGATGTAAACTTGAGGATTCATGGAACAAGAGACAGGATGTTTATGATGCTGCTGTCTGTCAGCAGCAAAAGGACATTGACAAAATTGACTTTCTCACCCACGAGAACCGAAAACTGGCTTCGGAAAACAAATTGCTGCACAGTAGATTGGAAGATGCCCTGAATGAGAAACAGCTTTCATATGATGCTGCTCTCTCTCAGCAACTAAAGGATACGGATCAACTGGACCAACTGACATATGAAAATAAACAACTTACCACTGAAATCAAGAGGTTGCAAACTCAGCTTAAGGATGCCCTGACTGAAAGACAGCATGTCTATGATGCTGCAGACTTTATGCAGTTAAAAGATGCAGAAAAAGTTGACCAACTCACTTATGAAAATCAAATGCTGTCAGCTGAAAACAAGAGGTTACAAAGCAAATTTGAGAATGCACATAACGAAAGACGTAGTTCTTCCAAGGATGATGAACATGTGCCCCCCAAATGTCAACAACAAATGGTCACACTGAGTAATGAATGAACAACAAATGGTCACACTGAGTAATGAGAATCAGACTCTGACCTCAGAAAACAACTGTCTGAAAAAAAGGCTTGAAAAATTACTTTATGAGCAACAGTACTCTTTAGATGCAGCCTTTTCTCAACGACAACAAAATGAGGCAGATAAGCTGGGCCATCTCCTTTTCGAGAATCAACAACTAGCATCCGAGAACAAGAGGCTGCAAGGTAAACTTGATGAAGCCCTAAATGTGCAACTCTGTGCATTTGAGGCCCATGCCTCTTACCAAAAAGACTTAAATAAAACAAATCTCATTAATGAAAATTTGCATTTCATTTCCGAGATCAAAATGTTGCAGGACAAACTTGAAAATGCCTTAAATGATAAACAGAATGATATTGATAAAATCAACCAACTTGCTAATAAAAATCAAGAACTTGCCTTATCAAACAAAAGTCTGCATAAAGAGCTGGAAGATGTCTTAAATAAAAAAGAGTCTGTTCATTTGGCCAACATTTCTGAGCAATGTAGAGAGAAAGAAAAACGGGCTTATCCCACTAAAGACAACAGAAAACTGCAGACTGGTAACAAGTGCTTAAAAGAGAAACTTGAAGGGTCCTTAAATGAGAGACTGTGTGTTATTGAGACTGCTTCCTCTCAGGATCTAACAGGGGAGAATCATCACATGGCTTATACTAACAGGATTCTACAAGTTAAGTGTGACACTGCCTTAAATACTTCTGAGGTTGGTGTCTCTCAACAGCCAGAGAACCCAGATAAAATGGACCACAATAATCTTGAAATACAACAACTTAATTCTGAAAATCAGATGCTGCAAGAGAAACTTGAGGATGCTCTTCGTTGGAGACAGCAGGCTTATGAAGTTGCTAAAAACCAGAAGCAAAAGGATGCAGAAAAACACGAGTGTTTGACTCGTGAAATCCAACAACTGGTTCTTGATAATCAGAGATTGAAGAGCACACTTGAAGAAACCTTGAATGAAAGACAATGTTCCGTGGACACTGATAAAATACAGCAACTTATTCATGAAATTGAGCAGCTGGCTTTTGATAATAAGAGTCTTCAAGCTAAACTTGAAGTTAAATATGCTGCCAACTCACAACAGCAGGATACTGAAAAACTGGAACATGTGACTAAAGATGGGAATAAGGTGGTGGAGGAAAAATGTAAAGATGCCCTGTTTGAGACGCAATGTCCAAGAGGGGCAAGACCAAGAGAGGGACTTTGTACAAACAACATTTCTCAGCAAGAGAATATTGTAAATAAAGTAAAATATTTGAATAACAAAATCCACCAATTGATTTCTGAGAACAAGGTGCTGAAAGCTAAACTTGACCCTGCCTTGAATGAGAGGCTGCTTATCAAAGAGTCTGTGAAATTACAGCAGCAGGAAGACTTTAAGGAAACTTTAGAGAGTCTAACAAATGACAACCAACGGCTGATTAGTGAAAACAAGAAGTTGCAGTGTAAATTAGAAGATTGCCTTAATGAGAAACAGCAGGTTGACAGGGACTATCAGCATAAAGAAGATCAAATAACCCAACTTAACAAGGATATCCAGGAACTGGCAATTGACAACAAGAACCTGCAGGGTAAACTTAAAGATGTTCTTAAGGAGAGACAACAAATCAAAGTAGCTGCTGATTCAATACGGCAGAAGGACAAACAGGAACTGGAGAATTTGGCAAATAAAATGAAATATATAGCTTCTGAAAATGAGATGTTAAAGAAAAAGGTTGAGGTTGCTTTGAATGATAGACAACCAACTCAAGAAGTGGCTGCGTTTCATCATGAGGATATTGATAAAATAAAACATCTAACTGAAGAAATCCAGCAAATGTCTTCAAAGAATGAAAGACTAAATGAAAAGCTCCAAATCCTTGTTTCAGAAAACAAGAGGTTGCAAAGCCAACACGAGAGAGGGTTAAAAGAAAAGCAGTTTGATCATGAGGCTGCTGCCACTCAGCAACAGAAAGATGAAAAGAAGATTTGTACCCTTTCAAGTGAAAAACAACAACTTTCTTTTGAAAACCAGGGTTTAAAAGACCAGCTCAAGCATTCCAAGGAAGCTGCAGACTCGCAGCATCAAAGGGACATGGAAAGGTTGGAGCATCTGTCAAATGAAATCAAACAACTGGCATCTGAGAAAAATGGTTTACACTGTAGACTTGAGGATGCCTTGAAAGAAAAACAACTTATTCATGAAGCTGCTATATCGCAACATCAAAATGATTTAAAGGAAATACATTATCTGAAATCTGAATACCAAAAACTAAAAGACGAAAGACAGCATTCCACTGAGGTCGCTGCTTTACAGCAGGAGGAGGACACAGAAAAAATCGACCAACTTACTAACACAATCAAGGAACTTACTTTGAATGTCAAAACGTTAGTTTCTGAGAATGAGATGCTAAAAGGCAATCTTCACAGTGCCTTAAAAGAAAGGCACTTTGATGAAGAGTCTGTTGCCTCTCAGCAACAGAAGGAGAACGAGGAGATACATAACCTTACTGATGACATTCAGCGACTAGCTTCTGAAAAAAGAAGATTACAGGACAAACTTGAGGTTTTCCAAAGTGAGAGACAGCTTTTTAAAGAGACTGTTGACTCGCAGGAACAGAAGCATGCAAAGGAACTGGCCAATTTGATTCATAAAAACCAACAACTAGCATCTGAAAACATGAGTTTAAAATGTGAAATAGAAAATTGTCTGAGCAATATCCAGGAGGCAAAAGAAGCTTACGCCATTCAGCATCAGAAAGACAATGATAAAATTAACCTTCTAAACCTAGAGAACCAAAGTTTGGTCTCTGAGAACAAGAGGCTGCAAGGTAAACTTCAGGACGCACTGAATGAGAAACAACGTGTAAATGAGACCGTTGTCTCCCAGCAGCAAAAAGAAACAGAAAAACTGGACCATTTGAAAGAGGAAATACAAACTCTGGCATCAGAGAAAAACAGACTAGAAGAAGAACTGAAATATGCCCTGAATGAAAGACAATTTGCTGAAAAGTCTACTAACCCACAAGAGCAGAATGAATTAGAAAGAATGCAAATTCTGACCAGTGAAATCCATCTACTGGAATGTGAGAACAAGAGGTTAAAATGCCAACTTAAAGATGTGCTGAGTGAGAGAGGGGGTCCTAATGAAACTGCTTACTCGGGACAGCAAATATTTGAAGATAAAGACATAAAACAGGCCTTTAAGAATATCATGCATGATGGAAAACCAGAGGACACCCTTTATGAGACACAAGGAATAGAGAAAAATGAAAGACAGCTTGCCAAAAGCACCTCGGAAGAACAGCAGCAGATAACGGAAAAAATGCAATATCTGACAAATACAATCAAGCATTTGGCATCTCAAAATGAGCAGCTACAACAGGAACAAGACAGTGCCCTTTACGAACAACAACATGGTAATGAGGTCGCTATCGCACATCAGCAGAAAGAGCTGGAAAAATTGAAAAGTCTTTCTAGTCAAAACCAACAACTAATCTTTGATAACCAGATGCTACAGGACAAAGTTGAAGATGTTCTGAAAGAAAAACAACTTTTTAAAGAGGCTTCTGATTTCCAAGAGCAGAAGTATGCCAAAGACCTGGCCAATTTGGTCAAAAATAACGAACAACTCACTATTGAAAACAAGAGTTTACAAGTTAAAATCGAGAATCTCCTAAATAATTTCCAGCAAGAGAAAGAAAAATTTGAATTGCAGCACCAGAAAGATGTGGAAAAAATAAACCTTATTGACCATGAGAACCAACAATTAGGTTCTGAGAACAAGAGGCTAGAAAATAAACTTAAGGATGCTGTAAATGAGAAACAAAATGCTCAGAAGGCAAATGCCATTCAGTTACAAAATGTGGCAGAAAAACAAAACAATCTGACCAAAGAAATTCAGATACTGCAGATGGAAAAGAAGAAGCTAGAAGATGACCTAAAATGTATACTGAATGAGAGAAATATTGCTAAAGAGTCGGGAAAGTCACAGCTGCAGAAGGACAAGAACATAGATAAACTGGATTGTGAGAACAAAAAAGACGATCTGAAGGATGCCATAAGAGAGAGGCACGGCATCACTGTTTCTCAGCAAGAGGAGGATGCAGATACGCAAAATGATCGAAATAACCAAATTCAGCTGGTTTCTGAAAACAAGAGGCTTCTAAGTCAGCATGAAGATAGCCAAAAAAGGAAAACGCTTCATGACGAGGCTGGTGCCACTGAGCAACAGAGTGAAGCAGAGAGCATACAAATTGTTTTATGCGAAAATCAAAAATTAACTTTTGAGATCAAGGAACTTGAAGGAAAACTAGAAGATGCTTTAAATGAGAAACAATGCACATTTGAGGCCGCTGCTTTACAACACCAGAAGGACATTGAAACCATAAACCACCTTAGTGATGAAAATCAAAAACTTTCTTCTGAAAACATCAGGTTACAGGATAAAGTAAATGACCTGCAGATACACAGTGATGAATTGGCCTGTTTGACTCAAGAAAACATAGAATTGCACATTAAAAATGACAGCTTAAAGGAAAAACTTGTGGATTCATTACAAGGAAAACAACCTGCTGATGATCATGCTTCATCGCACCAGCAAACAGATGAATATAATGTGCACCACCTTGTTATGAAACAAGATCAGCTGGCATTTGAAAAAATGCACCTTAAAGATATACATGAGTGTGTGCCTGGTGACAAAGAGTGCACCTCACAGGCTGCTGTAATTATAGAAAATGAGTCATCACAAAACTTGCACCTTATGAACACTGAGGTTCAACAACTGCACTCAGAAAACAAAATGCTAAAAGAGAAACTTGACAGTACTAAACATCACTGGCACAAGGCCAAAGAGAAACTGGATCGCCTGACTCAAGAAATCCATCAATTGGCTTCTGAGAAAAAGAGTCTGCAAAGTGATCTTAATGAAGCCATGCTTGAAAGAAAGTGTACTTCTGATGCTACTGCCTACCAACAGAAGAACGATGGGAAAAACATAAAGGGTTTCACTCATGAAATCCAGCATTTGACATCCGACAACAAATGCTTGCTTGATAAACTAAAAGATGCTTTTAATGAAAAGCAGCAAGAAAATGAAATGACCGTTTCACTGACAAAGGAGGATGCAGATGAATTGGCCTCTCTGAATGATAACATGAAAATCCTTATTTCAGAAAACCAGAGGCTGCAAAGGCAGCACGAGGAAACCCTTAAAGAGAAACAATTTGACCAAGAGGCTATTGCCTCACTATACCAACTAGATGATGCTAAAATGAATGACTTTGTCTGTGGAAACCAACTACTGGATTCTGAGAATAGTCATCTGAAAGGCAAACTTGAGGTTGCCCTGAATGAGAAACAACTGGCTATTGAGGCTAAAAATCTTCATCGAAATAGTGAAGCGGAAATACATCAACTTAAGGACAAAAACCAAAAACTAACATCTGAGAACAGGAGCCTGCAAGCCAACCTTGAAAATGCAATGAAAGAGCAACAGTGTAGAATCAGAAAAGAATCAGTAGAACTCAATACTCTGACTGAGGAAATTAAACACCTGGTTGCTGAGAACAAAAGGCTGCAATGCATGCTTAATGTTGGACAAAATGAAAGAGAGGCTGCTGGGAAGGGCACTGCATCTAATCAGCAAACTGATAAAGAAAAAAATATAAGTCATGAAAATAGAAAACTAGTATATGAGAACAAAATTCTTCAAAATAATAGCTCCACGAATGAAAGAGAGAACAGTTTTGAGACAGCACGATCTGAGCAACAAATGAACAAAGAACAATTAGAGGATTTGAATAATAAAATGCAAAAACTATCTTTTGAGAATCAGGCACTAAACAGAAAACTTGAGGATGTCCTGACAAGAGACCCTACTGACTCACCGCAACAGAATGATTCAAGTTCACTTGATTGTGTTAACCAAAAATGTCAACAATTGGCTAATGAGAACAAAAGGCTAGAAGCTAAACTTGAGAAGTTACTGAATGAGAGACTGTTACTTCAAAATGCTTTTGACTTCCACGAGCAAGAATCTGCAGAGGAACCATCCGATATGATCTATGAAAATCTACTTGCTACTGAAAACAATAGTATTCAAGCTAAAATAGAGGGTGATAGTCAGCAGGTTAAAGGCCCTTCTGTCTGTCAGCTACAACATTTCATAGACAGAATAAACAACCTTAATCATAAACACCAACAACTAGCAACAGAGAACAAAAGGCTGCATGAAGAACTTAAAGGTGCGCTGCATAAGCGTGAATGCGTTGATGAGTCTAATACTGAAAAGAAAGCATTAGTCGATACACTTCACAATACCTTGCAAGGCAGAGAGGCAATCAAAGAGGGCGCAAATTTAGAACGGGAGGACGTAGAAAACTTACAGAATCTGAATGGACAAATCTTTAAACTGGTGTCTGAGAATGAGATGCTGAAAGTTAAACTGAAAGACGTCCTTAATGAAAAACAGCACGTCTCTGAAGCTGCTGCAATTCAGCTGGAGACAAAAACTGATCAAATAAACCAACTTATGAATGAAAAACAGGAACTGGCTTTTGAAAATAATGGACTGCGTATTAAACTTGATAACGTTGTAGAAAAGTGTTATATTACAAAAGAGGCTACAAACCCACGAGAGCAGAACGCCTCAGACCTAGAAAAAACACCTGAACTCATCAACAAAATCCATCAACAGGAATCTGAAAATGAGAGTCTGAAAGACAAAATTGAAATTATTTTGAACAAAAACCAATGTGCTCAAGATGCTGATGTTGCCGCTCGGCAGATAGAAACAGCTAAAATTAACAATTTAACACATGAAAATCAACAACTAACTTCTGAGAATGCAAGGTTGCGTAGCAAACTTGAAGAGACATTAAATGAGCACCAGAGTATAGTGGACAAACTTATTTTTGAAAATCAACAATTGTGTTCTCAAAACAAAAGCCTTAGTGAAGAACTTGAGGAGGCCATAACTGAAAGACAGTATGCTTACGAGACTGCGTCCTATCAGCATCAGACTGATACAGATGAAATAAACTACCTTACCTGTGAAAATCAACAACTATCTTCTGAGAACAAGAGGTTGCAATGTGACCTTGAGGTTGCGCTGAATGAGATACAGCATGCAAAAGAGGCTGCTACCTCTCAGGAAACGAAGGATTTAGATAAGGTCGAAAACCTTAATAAAAAATACGAAACACTTTTTTCTGAGAACAAGAGTCTACGAAATAAACTTGAGGCGGTCATAAATGAGAAACAATGTCTTTATGAGTCTGCTGACTCTCAACAGCAAAAGGATAAAGAAAAATTGGACCATCTGATGAAGGAAATGCAACAACTGGTTTCTGATAAGAAGAGGCTGAAAAATAAACTTATTAGTGTCTTGAAAGAAAGACGTTCTACAGAGGCTGTGGAGCCACAGCCGCAAAGAAATATAAAAAAACTGGAGAACTTGACGAAAAAAATTGTACACTTAGTATCTGAGAATACAAAGTTACAAGATCAACTGGAGAATATACAACATCGAAGAGAGCAACATTTTGAGGTTAACGCCAACAAGCCACAAAAGGAGGTAAATGAACCAGACCCTCTGACTGTGGAAAACCAACATTTAGTCATTGAGAATAAAAGGTTGAAAAAGGTTGAAAAAGAACTTGATACTGAACTAAATGAAAGACAACATAGTGAAGAGGCTGTTCACACTGAAAAGCAAAATACAGCAATGCTGCTTTCCTGTTTGAGTAAAGAAAAAGAACAACTGGGCTCTGAAAATAGAAGTCTGCCACCACAATTGGACGATGCCCTAAATGAGACACCTGATGCCAAAGACACCCATGTCTCTCAGCAACCGAAACATATAGATAAGTTAAATCACCTTGCTAGTGAACAATTGCCTTCCGAGAACAGAAGACTACAGGAAGAAATTGTGGATGACTTGCATTTACAAAGTAAAACAGAGGCTGCTGAGACTCAGCAGAATGCCAACCTAGATAAAATGCACCATCTAACTGTGGAAATCCAAACTGTAATCTCTGAGAACAAGAGGCTTAAATATGAACTGAAGAATGTGCTGAAGGAGAGGCATTTTGTCAGAAAAACTGCAGGCTTTTCACAGACAAAACAAAACACAGACAAAACGGAAGATTTAGTAAATGAAAATATACAACTGGTTTCTGAACTCAAGAGACTACAGGCTAACCTTGAGGATGCCGTTAAAGAGAGAAGGCATGTTGAACAGGTAGATGTCCCTCAGCGTGTTTATGAGACTGCTGCATCTGAGCATCAGAAGAATGCAGAAGAATGCAAACTGGACAAACTTACAAATGAGATACAAGTCTTGCTTTCTGAGAACAAGGTCCTGCAAAGCAACCTTGCAAATGCTCTGCAGGGTAAACAGTGCACCAAAGTGATTACTGAATCACAGGAGCAAAGACAAGCAGATGTTCTGGAATATGTTGCTCCTGAAAACATTAGTGTTTCCGAGGACATTAGGCTTCAATGTAAACTTGAAGAAATAAATCAACTAAGTCATGAAAACCAGAAACTATTGTTTGAGAACAAAGAACTGCAAAGTAAACTTAAGGATGCTCTAAATGAGAAAGGACAAGCGAAAGATGCTGCTGTTCTTCAGCATCAGAAGGACAAAGAAAAAATAAATCACCTTATTCATATTAACCAGAAACTAGAGTTTGAGAATAAAGACTTGCAAGGTAAACTTGTAGATGCTCTAAATGAAAAGGAATGTGTTACCGAAACTGCTGCATCTCAGCAACAAAATTATGTAGAAAAAGAGGCCCATCTCACTTATCAAATACAAGTATTGATATCTGAAAAGAAGACCTTGCAAAACCAGCTTGACAATGTCCTCGCTGAAAAAGATTACACTGAAGAGACTGCTGCGTCTCAGAGGCAGAAGTTTGCAATGAAAGTGGCTAGTCTGACTTTTGGCAATCAACAACTGACCTCTGAAAACAAGAAGCTACAAGGTCAGCTTGAGGACACCCTGAGGGAGAGACAAAGTACTTATGAGTCTGTTTTCTCTAAGCAGAAAAAATATGAAGAAAAACTGGACCAATTGACAAATGAAATTCAAAAACTAGCATCTGAGAATAAGAGGTTGCAGGATGCTATGAAGGAGACACAAAATGTTAAAGATTTTGCAGCCTGTCAGCAACAGAAACATACAGAACAACTGTCTGTTCTGGAAAAAGAAAACGAGAATCTTACCTCTAAAATGATGTGTTTACAAGGTGCACTTGATGATGTCCTAAATGATAAACGTCAATTAACAGAGGCTGTTGACTCAAAACAGCAAGAGGACACACACAAGATCGACAAACTCACTAATGAAAATCACCAACTTTCTTTAGAGAACAAAACTCTACAAGGTAAACTTGAGGATGCACTCAATGAGAGACTTCATTTATTTGAGGCGTCTGTGTTGAAGCAGCAAAATGATGCAGATCAACTGTATAAAATCAATCAACTCATGTCTGAGAACAAAAGGCTACACAGTAAACTGAAAGAGGTCCTTAATAACAGACAGCAGACCAATGAAGCTTCTCTTTATCAGCACCAGAAGGATACAGAACATTTTGAAAAAATGGCTGGAGAAATTAAAGGACTGGTTTCTGAGAAGAAGGGATTGGAAGAAAAACTTGAGGATGCGCTGAAAGAGAACAAGCGCTTTAAAGAGACTGCCAACTGTCAGCAACAGAAGAACATTAACAAAGTGGGAAAAATGGTTGAGGAAAACCAACAGCTGGCATCTGAGAACAAGATTCTACAAGGAAAACTAGAGAATGCACTGAATGAAAGACTGCATGTCTATGAATCTTCTGTTTTTCGGCAGCAGAATGAGACAGAGAAATTGAACAGTCTGACAAATGAAATCCAACAGTTGCTTTCTGAGAACAAGATTCTACATGTACGGCTTGAGGAGGCTGTGAATGAAAAACAGTCTGCTGTGTCTCAGCAGCAGGTGGATGCAGAAGGAAGAGACAATTTAACTAAAGAAATCCAACAGTTGACCTCTGAAAAGAAGACACTAGAAGAAAATATTAAAAATGCACAAAATGAAATAAATAACCTTATTCGTGAAAATCAACTGCTGGCATCAGATAACAAAACTCTTCAAAGCAGGCTAGAAGATGCACTGAACGACAGACTGTGTGATTCTCAGCACAAAGACGAAGGGAAACTGGCTCATCAGATACAAGAAAACCATAACTTAAATTCTGAAAACAAGAGACTTCAAGATAAACTTCAGGATACATTAAATAAGATACAGCATTTGAAAAATGTTTGTGACTCACAGCAGCAGCAGAATGAAGATAGAATTGACCATTTAACTGCCAAAATCACACAGCTTGTCTCTGAGAACGAGAGACTGCAAGGTAAGCTTGAAGAGGCCTTAAATGAGAAACATCACACTCATGAGGCTGTTGACAAAAATAAACTTCTAATTCATGAAAATCAGAGACTAACATTAGAGAACAAAAAGCTCCAAGGTAAACTTGAAGATGCTGTAAATGAGAGACAGCATTCTACAGAGTCTGAACACTCAAAGACTCAAGAACAAATGCTCAGTCTCACTAATGAAATCCAACAACTGGTATTTGACAACAGGAGGCTAAAAGATAAACTTGATGAAGTTGTTATTGAAAGACATCATGCTAAAGATCCTGCTGCCTGTTGGCATCAGGATTCAGAACAACTGGCCAGTCTGACGCAAGAAAACCATAACCTGAATTCTGACAACAAGTATCTGCAAGGTAAACTGGAAGCAAGTCTTAAGGAAATACAGCACTTAAAAGAGCTTGCAGACTTACAGACTCAGAATGCTAAAGAAAAGTTGAACCAACTGACAATGGAAGTCCAAAAACTGATTTCTGAAAACAAAAATCTGCAGAGTGAACTAAAAAATGCTATCAGTGAAGGACAGATGTCTAAACAGACTGCTGCATGTCAACACCAGAAGGATAAAGATAGAATAAATAATCTCAGTCATGAAAACCAAGAGCTTCAGTCCAAGATCAAAAGCCTGCAAGGTAAACATAAAGAGGCTGTAGATGAGCGACAGTATGCTGAGGAGACTGCTGAGGCCTCTCATCAGAAGAGTGCTAATATAATCAGAAATCTAACTTGCAAAAACCAACAGTTGGCTTCCGAGAACAAGGCGCTACAAGGTAAAGTTGAAGAGGCATTGAAAGAGAGACTGAGCATTAAAGAGGGTGCTAACTCTCAGCAGCAGAAGAATTTAGAACAAATACACCGCTTAACTAATAAAATCGATCAAATAACGACAGATAACAAACAACTGCAAGACAAACTTGAGCAGGTCTTTAATGAGACACATCATGCCAAGGAAGTTGCTGACCTTCAACAGCAGAAGGTTGAAGTTAAACTGAAAGACGTTAGCCAAGAAAATCAAAAACTATCTTCTGAAAATAGGTGCTTGCAAGATAAACTTGTGGAGTGCCTAAATAAAAGTCAGCAGGCAAAGAGTGCTGCAGCATGCCAGCATCAGAAGGATGTGGACACAATAAATCACCTTAGTCAAGTGAACCAAAAACTTATCACTGACAACACAAGTCTTCAAACTAAACTTGAAGATTCCCTGAATGAGAGACAGCAAGTTCACGAGGCCACTGTTGTTCAGCAGCAGAGAGATGCACAACAACTAGCTTGTCTTAAACAGGAAAGTCAGACCCTAATTTGTGATAATAAGTATCTGCGAGATCAACTTGAAAATGCCCTTAATGGGAGACAACACTTAAAAGAGGTTGGAGACTCACTACATCAAAAGGACAAGGAACTATCTGAGTACCTGTCTAATGAAATCCAACAACTAAAAACCGAAAATATGAATCTCCATGATAAACTGAAGGTCATCCGGAGTGAAAAACTATGTTCTGAAGACACTGCTGCACATCAGCAACAGAAAAATGAGGCAAAGATACAAGAACTCCTTCATGTGAATCAAAACTTGCTTTCTGAAAACAATAGTTTACAAGGAAAACTGGAGGATGCCTTGAATGAAAGGCAGCAAATGCTTTCTGAGATGAAGAGTCTTGAAGTAAAAATTGAGGTTTCTCAGAATGAAAGAGCCTGTGCCGAAGAAACAGCTGACTCATGGCAGCAGAAGATGACAGATATACACAACGATTTAACAGATAAAAATCAACGACTAGCCAATGAAAACCAGAAACTGCAAGATAAGCTTCAAGATGTTGCTCTCTCTATGAGGAAAGATGAAGAAAAAATAAGCCATATGACTTGTGAAAACCAAGAGTTGGCTTCCAAGTACAAAAGGCTGCAAGAAAAATGTGAAAATATTGTAAATGAGAGACAACATGCCAAAGAGACTGCTGACTCTCAGCACCAAAAATATGCAATGAAACTTACCAGTCTGACTCATGAAAATCAACAACTGGCTTTTGATAACATCAGTCTAAAGGAGAAACTTGAGGATGCGCTGAATAAAAAACACCAAGCAAAAGAGGATGCTTTGCTTCAGCATCAAAAGGACACAGATAAAATCAACTTATTGGATCATGAGTATAAACAGCTAACGTCAGAGAATGAAAGGTTGCATGGTAAACTTGAGAAAGCCCTGAAAGAGATAAACGTCAAAGATGCTGCTATAGCAGTTCAACAGACAGATAGAGATACAATTAAACATCAGAGTCATGAAAACCAAAAGCTAGTGTCTGAGAACACAGTTCTACGAGGGAAGCTTGAGGATGCCAGAAATGAAAGAGAGTCTGCTATCTCTCAGCAGCAGAGGGATGCAGGCAAACTTGCCCAACTGACAAAAGTAATCGAACTAATATCTTCTGAAAAGAAAAGACTAGAAGTTAAACTTGTAGATGCAGTAAGTTGGAGACAGCAAACAAAAGAGGCTGCTAATTTACAGCTGCAGAGGGATGCAGAAAAATTTGAGCATCTGACAAATGAAATCATACAACTTGTATCTGAGAACAAGAGGTTACAAGGAAAACTTGAGGATTCCCTGAATGAGAAGCAGCATCTGAAAGAGGCAGCTACCTCTCAGCAGCAGATACACATCAGTAAAATCAACAACCTCATGATTGAAAACCAACAACTGGATTCTCAGAACAAGAGTCTTCAAGGCAAATTGGAGGATGCTCAAAATGAGACACGCAAAACTCGTGAGGCTTCTGTTTCTCAGCAGCAAATCGCTGCAGAGAAACTCAAACATCTTGCTTTAGAAAACCAAAGTATGATTTCTGATAACAAAAGTCTTCAAGAAAAACTGGAAGAATCTCTGAAGGTGACCAATAGTGCTCATGAGGCTGCTGTCTCTCAGCAGCAAAAAGATCAAGAAAAATGTGATTACTTAGCGAAAGAAAACCAACAACTAGCTTCTGAAAAGAAAACACTGGAAGATAAACTTGAGGAAGCCCTGAATAGGAGACAGCATACACAGGAGGCTGCTGACTCTCAGCGACAAATGGATATAACCACAATAAACAACCTTACTCTTGAAAACCAAGATCTAGCTTCCCAGAATAAGATTCTTCACAGCCAACTAGCAGATACTGTAAATGAGAAACTCCAAGTCTATGAGGCTTCTGTTTCTCAGCAGCAAAAAGATGCTGAAAACATAACACATCTGATGAATGATAACCAACAGCTGTCCTCTGAAAACAAGAAGCTACACGTGAAACTTGAAGGTGCCTTAAGTGAGAGACAGCATTTTGGTGAGGCTGTCACCTGTAAAGAGCTAGAGTCTGCAGAAAAACTGGCACAGCTCACTCAAGAAAACCAAAGTTTGACTTCTGACAACCAGAGTCTTAGAGACAAACTTGAAGAATGTTTGAAGGAGAGACAAGATGCTCATGAGGTTGCTGCTTCCCAGCAGAAAAAGAATGCAAGTAAGCTAGAACACCTCATTTGTGAAAATCAACAAGTGATCTCTGAGAACAAGAGATTACAATGCAAATTTGTGAATGCCTTTAAAGACAGACAGCTTGCATATGAAGCTCAGCAGCAGAAAGAGGCAGATAAGCTAAACCACCTTACTTATGAACTGCAACAAATGTCTTCTGAAAATAGAAAATTACAGGATAGACTTACAGTTGCCCTAAATGAGAAGCAGCAAGCCTACGAAGCCCTTACTTCTCAACAGCAGAGAGAGGCAGAAATATTGGACCAGCTTTCACATGAAAAACAGCAACTGGCTTTAGATAACAAGAAGCTTAAAGCTAAATTTGAAGAGGCGCTGGGGAACCGACAGCAGACCTATGAGGCTCTTGTCTCCCAGCAGCAGAAAGATGCAGTTAAACTTGATCAGCTTTATGATGAAAATAAACAACTGGCATATGAAAACAAGAGACTGCAAGTTAAAGCTGAAGATTTACAACATGACATAAAACATGCCAATGAGGCTCTTGTATCTCAGCAGCAAAAGGATGCTGAAAAGGTGGCTCAGCTGACTCATGAAAACCAAAAACTAATTTCTACTAATGTAGATCTGCAGGATAAACTTGAAAAATTCCACAGTGAGAAACGGCACAATCAGACGATTTCTGTCTCCCAGCAGCAGAAGTATGAGCACAAACTTTGGGAATTAACTAACAAAATCCACCAACTATCTTCTGAGAAGAAGAGGCTTCAAGAGAAAATAAAGGATAGCGTGAGTGAGAAACAGTGTGCTTTGGAAGCTGCACAATTGAAGCTGCAGAATGATGCTGCTAAACTAGATCACCTGTCCAACGAAGTCCATCACCTAACTACTGAGAACAAGAGGCTGCAAGGTAAACTTGAGAATACTCTGACTGAGGTACAGCATGCGTATGAAGATGCTGCATCTCAGCAGAAAAAAGATGCTGAAAAATTGGCTCATCTTTTAGAACAGAATCAAGAGTTATCATCCAAAAACAACAGTTTGCAGGTTAAACTTGAGGATGCTTTTTGCGATAGACAACACTCTTATGCTAACATCACTCAGAGACAGACGGATGCAGATGAAATATGTCACCTTACTCAGGAAAACCAACAACTCAAACATGACAACCAGTGCCTGGAAGGCAAACTTAATGAGGCTTTGAATGAAAAGCAACTCGCTCTTGACGCTGCTGCCTCTCAGCACCAGAGGGACAGAGATAGGCTAAATCAACTAACTAATGAAAATCAACAAATTATTTTTGATAACAAGAAATTACAAAGCACACTTGAGGGTTTTCTAAGTAAAAAACTGCATGCTTGTGAGGCATCCGAAAATCAACAGCAGAAAGACGCTCAGAAAATAGCACATATGACAAGTAAAATACAACAAATGGCTTTAGATTATGAGATACTGCTCGGTAAGCTCAAAGATGTTCTGGCAGAGAAAGGACATGTTTATGATGTTTTAAAATCTCAGCAACAGAAGGATACCGATAAACTGGACCACCTGATGAATGAAATACAACAATTGGCTTCTGAGAAAACAATTCTGCAGGGTAAACTTCAGGATGTCCTAACTGAAAGACAGCGTGTCTGTGAAGCTGCCACGTCACAGCAGCAAACATATGCAGAAAAAATCTCCAATTTAACTGATAAAATGCAAAACTTAATTTCCGAAAATGCAACCTTACGAGTTAACCTTGAGAATATGGTGAGTGAGAGGCACCACTGTGACGAGAGAGTGGTCTGTCAGTGGCAAAAGGATACAGACCACCTTACTAATGCGAATCAACAACTGACATTTGAGAACAAACGCCTCAGTGATAGACTTGAGGATGCCGTGAAGGACAAACATCAAATGTACAAGGCTCTTGTCTCTCAACAGCAGCTTGATGCAGAAAAAATAGCTGGTTTGACTCGTGAGTTCCAAATGCTGGTGGATGAAAACAAGAACCTACAAGTAAAACTTGAAGTTGTCCAAAATAAGAGGCAGCATGACCGCAAGACTGTTGTTTCCCAGCAACAAAAATACAATCATAAAATGTCGCGTTTGATGAAAAAAATACATCAATTGGCAGTTGACAATAAAAAACTACAAGACCTATTAAAGAATGCCCTCGGTGAGAGACAGTGTGCTTTTGAAGCTATGGAGTCACAGCAACAGAAATATGTAGAAGAAATTGATCTTTTGACTCATAAAGTACAACAACAAGTTTGTGAAAACAAGACCCTACAGTGTACACTTGAGGATGCCATAAATGAGAAGAAACGGGTCCATGAGGCTGCTGTTTTAAAGCAGAAGAAGGATGCAGAACAACTGGACCATGTGATGAAAGAAGTACAAAAACTATTTGCAGGAAAGAAGTGTTTAGAGCTTAAACTTGAGGAAGCTCTGAATGAGAGACAACGTTATAAAGAAACTATAGATATACAAGTTCAGAAGGACAAAGAAAAATTCGACAGCGTGACTAATGATTTTATGCAACTGGTATTGGAGAATAAGAAGCTGCAAGAAAAGCTTGAGGATTCACTTACTGAGAAACAATGTATCAAACAGGCTGCTGTCTCTAAGCAGCAAGTGGACATCAATAAAATAAACTATCTCACCCAGGAAAACCAACAGTTAACATCACAGAACAAGACTCTTCAAAGTAAATTAGAAGATGCTCTAAATGAGAAACTACATGCTTATGAGACTTATGTTTCTCAGCAGCAGAATGATGCAGAAAAACTGACCCATCTGATGAACGATATCCAACAGCTTTCATCTAAAAACAAGAGGCTACAAACCAAACTCGAGGATACTCTGCATGAGAGACATCATTTTGGAAAGAATGCTGCTGCTCAGCAGCAGAAGGATGCAGAAAAACTGTCGTATTTGAATCAGGAAAACCAAAACCTGACAACTGAAAACAATAGCCTCAAAGTTAAACTTGAAGATGCCTTGAAGCAGAGGCAGAGTATCCATGAGGCTGCTATTTCCCAGCAGCAAATAGATGAAGAAAAACTTGATTATCTGGAAAAGGAAATTCAAAAACTGGCTTCTGGAAAGAAAATTCTAGAGGATAAACTTGAAGATGCATTAAAGGAGCAGCAGCGTACAAAAGAGACTGCTGCCTTACAGCAGCAAAATGATGCAGAAAAACTGTCCCACTTGACAAATGAAGTTGCACAAATGGTATGTGAAAATCAAAGCCTTCAAGAAAAACTTGATAATGAACATAGAGAGAGACAAAGTGACCACGAAGCAGCTACGTGTCA